CAAGGCTGCTGTTTTTGTACGTTTGTTTGATTGTTCTCTTTACCTCCTTCTGCTTTGGTTTCCTCACCTGGAACACTGGGGCTGAGGTGCTGCTAGGACTGGAAATAAGACCGGGAAGGAGCTTAGCCCGGGACCTGGCGCCAAGGCGGGTGATCGCAGTGTGGTTCACCTGGAATCGGGTGATGACTGTCATTTCTTCCCGGCAACACAGGAAAGGGCATTTTTAAATAGTCTCCTGAAATTCGCAGGTACGGATACACTTTGGGTCCAAAACAGCCCATTTGGACACAGCTGTTGTTCTCGGAATGACTTGAGTAGTTAAGACGGTTTGTGGGGTCGGCCTGGACTTCGCCATCCCTGCTCCAGCAAGTTGCCCCAAAAATGACGGGCAGAGATTCGGGCGGCAGCCCTCTGCTGCCTGCCCTCCCGGGAGAAGCTGCGGGAGCTTCCGGGGTGCGCAGCTCCTGAGGACACAGCTCACCTTGGCTTAAGAACCATGGACAGTTTTTCTTATCGGCTGTCTCCTGAGAGTGCTTTTCTTATAAAGAGGGCAGGCGTTGCCGGCAGAGGGAAACTTACCTGAGTCGGGGTATTACCAAGCATTGGTTGAACCGACACCTTGTTATGAAATGGTCAGATCACCTTTGTTTGCATAATTCGGGAATCCAGCCTGCATTGTCTGCACTTGACACTGTCATCCTGAAGGCTCATGTTTGCTGTGGCTCCTGGATGGGGACAACGCACGATTCCTTCAGGACGGGAGGGCGACGGAACAGTGGCTAGACCCCTTCCCCCGACCCTGGCAAGTAACAGCCACAAAACTAACAGAGCGACCATTCCAGCCGGTACAGATCACGGAGGACGCCGGGTGCCTGCACGTGCAACACGAGCAGGCGGGTCATCACCCTGGCGAAACGTCCCTTCTGAGTCCTAAACATCCTTTCCACGCCCCCTCCCAGTGCAGTGCTCCAGGCCCGCAGCCTCTCGTGGCCCCGTTTCTATAACCACCGTGAGGTGAGTGACAGAGCAAGTTCAAGGCCCTTGGGGACAAGTCTGTGTACCTGCCTTAGATTAGAAGATGGATGTGCTTTAGAACCCAGCAGATCTGGAGTCAAATGCCAGCTCTGAGAGTCTCTAACCACGAGAACGTGTGAGGTCACTTCTGCTCTGGCGTGCCTGCCTTCTGACATCTGAAATGGGGGCTGGGACGTCTGCCTCTCGGGCCCCCGGAGCCCAGTGTGCAGAGCCCGGAGGGAGGACTTCATCCCTCGGCAGCACACATCCTGCCTCAGTTCCCCATTCAGCCCTGAGTGGGGACATCATATCTTACACACATGGAGCTGAGGTCTTGCCACGTGGTGCGTGATCCCACGGAGCACAGCCTCAGCCTGGACCGGGCCTAGCACGACAGCGTCCTCCTCTCACCTGTCATTCCCCGTGCGCGGTGCCCTGAGTCTGAAATACAAACGCTATTAAACCTCATGTAGCAAGACTGTACGCAAGTGTCAGAGAGGCTGAGACGGGTGCTCAGGCCCTTCGCTCCCCGTCCCACCTTCTTCCTGCAGGGCCACAGCTTCACAGCCTCTGTGGCCCGGGGGGCAAGCCGCGGACGGGGCTGGGGAAGGGGCTGCAGCGGCTGCAGCCCGCACCCTAAGCAGCGTGGGCTTGCAGACTCCGAGTTACTCTTTAGACTTTATGCCTGGTACAGACTGACCGCTCTGTCCCCCCGAAACCCACGTTGTGAACTGAATGCTGTCTCATTGGACTGTCCCCCAAATCTCGTGGGAGCAGGAATAATTGTCCCTGTTTCACAATGGCTGGAGCACACCAGCGTCACCAACACCAGACCATCATCCAGACCTTCGTTTGGCTCCACTGCCCGTGCCCGCCCGGCACCGCGGGATGATCGGGGTGCGCTCAGGCTCCCAGGGGGGGAGGTCTCCCTCGGGGAGCGGCTCTGCCCACAAGGCAGAGGAGGGCGGCCGTGACTCAGTTCTCCTGGGCTGGCACCCAGACCGCCCATGAGTCAGAAGGAGAGGGGCACATGGGGTGCGGCTGTCAAGCAAGAATCTGTACTTTCCTTGCCCATTCAGACCTGTTCTGGGAATTTCTGTCAGGCCTGGAAGGCAGTCTGACACCTTTCACAGGACTTAATCTCCTGGGCATGTGTCCCAGAGGGACCGCACCCCTAACCTTACTGAGAAAGGAAGGAGCCGGGTGAGACTCCCTGCAGAGGTGTGAGGTGTGTCCTCATAAAACTGGATTGTTGGGTGGTGACTTACGCCCTGGGAGGAGCCGTGGGACAATAGGACCAGGTGTGTTTGAGAACTGAGTTCGAGTCCTGACTGCCACGTCTGAGCTGTGTCACTGTGGGTGAGTCACTCAACCTCTCTGAGCCTTCGGTGCAACATCTGTGAAAAAAGGATGATACCTTCCTCGCAAAACTCTGTGAGAATTCTCTGAAGTGGGCATTCAGCAAATATTAATTTCCTTTTCTTTCAAATGTAGAGAATTTAACTTTTCTGGGGGCAAAGAAAGGAATGGCCAGGAAAAGACTGTCTAGGAGGCCGGTAAGCAGAGAGGGCAAGTTTGCTAGAAACAGTGGAGCAGGACCGGTGCGTCTCGTGGCCCCGGGGTCGTGGGTTCAGCTCAGCGCTTTGGAATCAAGTGGGGCGACGCACTGTAGACACGGAGGAGACCGGGGGGATGTGGAGACCCGACTGATGATTGTCCCCCAGAATCATTTGTTTTCAGGATAATTTGCTTTTTGGGTAATTTTATATTAGTTTACGTAACATTCACGAATGTTATCTTATCCACGTAGTTAATCCAATGAAGAAACTCTCAACATCCTTATTCTCCAGGCAGTTTGTGTCCTGCCTAAGAATTCTCAGGCTTCAGTCATCTGACTGCAAGTGTCTCTGCTAAGGAGAGAAGGACACTGAGGACAAACTCCAAGGAAGGCACTTGCCCTCAGGAACCTCCCAGTAAAAGTAATAAAATCTACAAATTGAAGGGTGGTGTCGCCTCAGGGCTCATAGGTCCAACAGGCGCTGAATGCTTATGAAAGTATATCGACGTGGTGTGTGCATGACGCGGGAGCCTGGGTTTGCAGGTTGCTTCTTGGTTGAAGCCCTTCTATTTGCTGTGTTCTAAAGGCAGAGAAATACAAACAAGCCAATTTTAACTTAGCTGTCACTTCACACGAGCAGACTGGTGGAAAGGGGTCCTGTGTGGGTCGCAGGTAGGAGCTCTAAACGCTGGAGGAGGTGTAATGCATCAGCACTTGGAGCACGATCATTAGCATTCAAGGGAATTCTACAGGCTGCTCACGGTCAGTGCCTCTTTTTCCAAAGTGCAGAAAAACATACGCATTTTGCCTCCTAACACTCCACAGAATGCGTTTGGAGCAAAACTTGGATGCTCAAGGAATTGCCAAAAGTTGTTTGCGTGTCTGTCCTGTTTTCGAGCTGCAGATTCAGTAAGTCAGAAGCAAGAACCCAAAGGATGAAGGGCTTAAACAGCTGGGGCTGGGATCTCGCACAAATCACCTTGGCTTACAATCTTTCTGGCAGCTCATTCAGTCTTTAATTTTTAAATAAATTTGTCCGATTTATTTTTTTGCCTAACACTCCTCTCCACAGAGTCAATGGGGCTTTATCATCATACACTTTTTTTTTTAAGCCCCAAGTGTTTGGCTTAGAAATGAAACAGAAAGTTAGTATTTGAGATGCTCCGCTGCTTCCTCAAGTACGCCAGGTGAGAAGCGCCAGGTGAGCAGAGTCGGGTCAGGTGGGATGGAGGCCCCCAAGTGGGATCTCTGGTGGGGAAATACCTTCCTGATGCTTTACATGCGGAGCAGGGAGGTGAGGTGCCCTCACTGTTTTATAGCTTTTGGAGTCAAACCTAAATCAAGAGACAGAAGTCAAGATGACTTAAGAGGTCTTGGAAAAAAGGCAGGTCTCTTACAGAATTGCATGTTTTTATACGGCCTTTGCAGAGAGAAAGTTGTGATTCAGGGTCTGTAATTTTTATTTACAGACTTTCAGTTCTGCTCTTGCTTGGTTGAAACCATTGGTTCCGTCTTTCATTTCCTGTATCGCTGAGAGCAGCTTCTCTGCATTCCTACGGGGTCCGGATCAGCCCTCGGATGAGCAGGGCCCAGTCCGCGGCTTCTGCCTGCACAGGGCTGGGGGGGTTCTGGTTCACGTCGGGGGGACCCCTTCCCAACGTGGACGTGAGCGCTGTGATGCTGGGATGCGTGGAGAGAGGGCCCGTGTGGACTCCCACAGCCACGCATGTAACTGAAGACGTGATACCAAATGCAGAAGTCGACAAGGGGAGAAAATGCCATTTCATCTGCACGTGGAACTATGGTTTTGTACCAGAGCGAACATCAGAAGATTCGGGGGAACTTGAAAGTTACCTGAGGCCTTTGGCTTAGAGATTAAAACTTCATTTTCTATTCATTCTAAATATTAGGCAGATTCTGACTCCTCAACATGCACGAAAAGAAAGGAAGAAAAGAAAAGAAGAGAAAAATAAATGGCATATTTTTGTGCACTTTGAGAAAGAAGGAACGGGTTATTACCAGTCTTCAGTATTCTCCTTAACGCTAGAAATTAAGCTCGAATTCCTTGAGCAGAAAACCAGTTTGTAAGAAAAGTCCTGTGAACCCAGAGGTGGAGAGATGGGGGCCTGGGGGCTCCCTGACTGTGCTGGTCACACTCTTACTGTCACGTCACGATTAACTACGTCCCCTAGCCTTCAACATGTCGCAGGTTTTAGAGGACACATCGCTCGAGGGCATTCTGAGAATTACCTAGCACGCATTCGAAAAAGCAAGCAAAATGCCCCCTTTTATCTTTTTAAGAACACAGTGTCTCAATTATCTCATCTTGGGGATGGACCAGGGGAAAATCCAGAAAATGTGAGTTCTGTTATCTGGCCACTGAGCCCCGTTCTGCCTGAGGTTTGCCTCTCGAATCCATCTCAAGGCTATATGGTGCATCCTGGGCCTGATCCTAGGGAAAGGAAAGAGGGGGTACAGGGGCACCAGCACCCAGAGGACCCCGGAGCCACCCAGCTTTCACCCAGCCTTCCTCGGATGGGTGGGACGGAGATGCACAGAGCTCCCCAGCCTAGGGAGCAGGCACAGGGGGAGCAAGAGCCCCCTTTTCCTCCCAGGTCACACCTGGTCCTAAAACCCCCATCAGGAGGAAGCAGCCTGGGGACACCACAGTGATAAACGTCTCCCTCACTGACTGTTTTCCTAAGCCCACAGACCTCTCCCTCTCGCTGTGTGTCCTTCACTCCTGGGTGCCCTCAGGGTTCTGCTCTTTCTTGGGTGTGCTCCGCGCTGGGAATCAGCGCCACTGTGATGGGGAAGGTGCTGGGGGAGGGGGAGGGCCAGCATCGCTCCCACAGACCCGAAGGCTCCCCCTGCGAGGGCGGGAAGCTTCTCCTACCTTCCGGGACCGACAGAGTTTAGTTACCTGCACGTCAGGTGCGCGTGGCACCTGCTGCACATGTCTTTTAGTAAATGGGTCTCCTGTTACCCATTAGAGAATCCTGTCCTCCTTTTTAGGGGAAATTTCTCTCGTAGGAAAAATTTAAAACGCTTGTTCACTCAACATGGTATTTCAACTTCAAAACTAAAAAAGAAGAAGGGCGTGTCCCCATTCTGTGCGGAATAAGACTTTGGCTCTGCAGATGTGAATACGTATGGCCGTTAGCCCCCTGACCAAGGGCAGCTGTCACTTTTAGGTCCCCTTCAGGAAAACGACGTCCCAGGCGAGGACACAGGCCACGGCCAGGGGCAGCGCTTACAGCAGGTGATACCCGCTTCTCTGTTTCTGCACCTTTCTTGTCTAATTCAGTGTTTGCTCTTTGCTAAGAGTTTCTGCTCTGCTGTTCTTCCAGACCCCCTTCCGCTGTAGAGGTGGAAACCTGTGCCAGGCTTTCCTTTATGAAAACCCAAGGTCTGCTTCTGCGTAGCTGAGAGGCTCCCCCCACCCCACCGACACCTCCTCTGCCAAGGACAGTGCTGGCGTTTAAGAACAAATCTCCAGGAGAATGAGGGACTGTGACTGTCCGGGAGCTGCAGACCCCCTGCTCCACGTGCCTCCTGGGGAGACACTGATGGCTGCCTCGGGGGAAGGGCCTGGGCCTGCAGGACAGGCCGGCACAGGCGTCCACCTGTCTGTTTGTCTTTCTGCCCAAGGAGCAAAACTTAGAGGTGCAGCAGGCAAACAGACCCAGGAGGACCCCAGCACAGCGGCTCCCAGGCTCTTCATGAGAACGCTTTTGTCGTTCGATCTGTGACTTCTGCTCAGTCAGGAAGCAAAGCGGGACTGTCGTGCAAGACTGGATCATTTCTGTTACGTTAGTGACATCTTTGCATGGCTGCTCTTTTGGGAGCCTCTCCAGTGGGGAAGTTGTCTAGAGTCCTAGGGAAAATAAACTCTCCCCTCAAATTCTTCTACAGCGGTGAATGCAGGTTAAGCGAGCCCACTGCCCCGACCCCCTTCCGTGGGAAAATTCAGACACTTACATCTGCCAGTTGCGCCACTGAGTCACCCAGCAGCCAGGTATCCATGCTCACACAACGCTTCTTGGGCAAGTCTCAGCTGAGTCAGCGGCCATAGGTCCCACTCCAGACAGACAGCGAGGGGAAGGTCTGTGGCTCCAACAGTCTCATCCCGTCCTTCTTCTCTGTGGGTGAGAAGGTGCCTCCTGATCACAGCCAGTGACTCAGCTGGCCAGGATGATTAGTTAGCTTCTTGGAACATTCTTGCATAAATCTCAGCCCAGAAAGCTTGGCAAGACCATTCTGAAATTTTCAACTCTGCTGAGATGATGTCTCATGGAAGTGAGCTCCCCATCCCTGGAAGCACTTAAGAAGGGGCTTACCTCTGGGTGAACAGGGGTTTGGCGATCACTCAGCTGGCTCTCAGGCTGTCCTCCCTGCAAACCTCACAGTCTGTTATGACGTGAGGTGTGTCTTCCTGCGAGGCGGGGGGTTGACCTCATAGCCCCTCCTGCCTCCTCCAGTTGGGATGCGACCAACAGGGACCACCTCGGCTCCCTCTCCAATCCGCGACAAGGCTGGGAACAATAGGAGATCTAACAGAATTGCATTTGCTTTTATGGACTTATTCTGATCAGCCCCAAAGATCCCATGGTAATACATGATTTTTGTGAGTCTCCCCGAGTTTAGACTCGTGTCTGTGTAATAACTCAGGTACAATGCCCCCAAACCGCAAAACAAGAGCGGATGTTCATCCAGCGCTTATCATGCACAAGACACCAAGGTCGGTGTTTCATTGTATTTAGCACTCTTGGAAACGCGGAAGTAGCCGTTATTGCTATGACACTGTTACAGAGGAGGGAACTGAGGCCCGGAGGGCTGTCCGAGGCCACAGAGGACAGGCACTGACTGTACTCCGCCGCTCCTGCCCCAGCGGGTCAACACGGTCAGCCCTCTGACCCAGCAGGGCCCTTCCCCTTCATACACATCTACGTGTGCACACGGGTATAAACCTATAAACGTTCGCAACAATGACCACCAAGGTAGTTCTCACGTACATACAGATCATACGCGACTTAATGTAAATTTAAGATCTCTTTCTTTCCCAACAGTTTAGACTGTTTCCACCCTCTTGACATTTCGGCCCATGTAACTGGGGGGGGGGCCTGTAGGGAGATCTGTCACATAGCTAGCTCCGACCCACTTGATGCCAGAAGCACCCCCACCCCTCGCTGTGACCACCAAGACGTGTCCAGGGGCAGCGAGAGGAAGGGCCCAAATCACCCCCAGATGAGAACCACTGGTTTATAGCTTTCAGGACCGTTTTATTCTTGAGGTCCCATTTCTTAATCTGAGACGTAGAATGTGTTGATGGCAAATAGTCCAACAGTTGCTTGTTTGACAGGAGGAAATCAGACCGTCCTCTTCCATCTTTACTCACCGCGCATCCTGAGCAGCCATCTCGGAGCTCAGCAGGTTTTCTCTCCTCTTCCCCGAAACCAGGTGAGAGATTCTCTGACTTTCCATCAGGCTCCAGGGCTGACGCCTGTTCCAGATCTCTCAGGACACTGCTCATCAAAGGTCCAGTCTTACCCAGGATCTGATAATGTTGCATGGCGTTTGTACTAAGTCTTCAAACTTGTTTTTCTTCTTCTCTTTTGGGGAAAAAAAAAATCTAGATTCGTTTACCAATCTTTCCTGGGCTGTGCCAGTACCAGCAGGCTTCTTCCTTCAGAATATCTAGAAGAAAAATCCTTAGAAGAAATTGATTTTAAAATAGGATGGTTTTCTCAAGTCCTCAACATGGTTTTTACTACACAGACCATCTGCGTAACAGGTCATGAGACCTAGTGAATGATGAGGTGTGTATCGATAAAAGTGTGCGTGGCACCTTTACACACCACGGGTCTGCTACAGATGCTCCCGTTTCAGACCTCTGGACAGCACCCGCTCCCCCAGAGCAGGACTGACCTGACGACCTGTGGCCCAGCCAGAAGCCGAGCCCGTCCTGTCCTCCCTAAGGCCTGGGGGCTGAGCAGGAATTCCTAAAACCACCTGTTGCCTTTCGACTACAATTCCTCCTTCATTTCTAGTGGTTGTTTTCGTTCAGCGTAGATTTATAGTATCAACTTGTAGTATAGTATAGTAATTTCTCTCCCAGATCCTGCCTTACACATACAACTTCTGGGCTGATTTCTGCCTGCTTCCAATTGAACACATATCTGAAACCACACTGATATATACCCTTGAGAAATTTGTAGACTCCAATTTCTACTTAAACTCGGCCTGAGTGCTCTGTTGTGGGTTTGTGTTTTTCGTTGTTGTTTCTGTTTGTTTGGTTGGTTGGTTGGTTGGTTAGAATGGGGCTTTTTTCGTATTAGGGGTAAAAAGATGAGGTCAAATTAAAGAGGACGTATTTCTAAAATTTTTGTTTATTTCTAAGATTTCTAAATCTTTTAAAATGAGGCCTAAACTGAGGTAAGAGATTCTGTGTTATTTTTAAGTGAGGTGAGGAAAAGTTTTATTATTACATCTATATTTTCTTACAATGGATTTTTTTTTATGAAAAAGACTGTGAGTAAATTTAATGGGAAAAAATACATTCTAAAATAACTCCTAAAATTCTCTTACCATTCTGTACCAAATTCATTACTGATTAATAAGAATCAAGGAACAACGCGACAGGAATACATTACGGTGGAAAAGCCTGCACTTGTATCAGAGAATCAACACCCCAGACGTCCTCCTCTACAGTGACAACTGATTACCGTAATAGCGTTTCAAGGTACACCACTCAGAACTCCTTGACACAGCATACCACTCACAGTGCAAATTTCCCCTAGTCACCGACATGGTGTTTACACAGTCAATTACGGTATTTGTGCCTTGGACCAGACCTCATAACACATTTGGCACCCCGCTTAGACTGAACATCAGACCCAGGGTTTTCTCACAAAATCGAGCAATGTGACATCGTACGCTCTGCTCGCATACACTCTGATGATGCAAGTGTGTTTCCCCATTTCTTCCTCCATTCGAAGGAAAACAAACCGAGAAGCCTGGAATCCGTGTTTCCCATCTGGAGGCGCCGCAGCCTGGCTCTCACGGCTGACCTCAGAGAGTGAAAAATCCTCCTCCAGGAACTGGGCTTCAGTTGACGTGGCAAAGCCTGCGCCCCTCTCCCGGGAGCCACAGGACCCTGCGACGTGGAGCCGACTCCATCCGGAGCTGCCAGGAGGTGATTCCCATGTTGCGGGGTGGGGAGCAGGAGGGGAGGAATGTGTTTTCATTATCAGAAACTGTTTCCTGTGTCCAAATGTGATTTCTCTACGCCCTGCAGTCTCCACTCAGTTGGAAGCGGAGGAAATCATAGACGCACACAGGAAGGGTTCTCTCCCAGGTTTAAGATAAAGCCTGAGTCCGCTGTGTCAGTCAAACACCCCGTTCTGTCTCCAGCTCTCTCTCTCTTTCTCCCACCACCTCACCTTCAATCTTGCCCAAAGCATTAAACAGTCACTGTATGTTTTAGGCTAAATACGCCATTCCATTTATCTGCAAATTTTAAATATATGTATTATATTTTTAAAATCTTTTTCTTTGGGGGGAGGTAATTAGGTTTATTTATTTATTTATTTTTTAGTGGAGGTCCTAGGGATTGAACCCAGGACCTCCCGCATGCTAAGCACACGCTCTCCCACTGAGCTATGTCCTCCCCTCAAATATATTAACAGGAATGCAAGTGAAGTGACCCACCTGAAACTTGAAAACTTTGCCTGTAATCCCTCCATCCCACGACAGAGAGGTGACAGACAGACAGACAAACATGACAATGTAAGTAGAAAATGTCCAGAAGGAAGCCAAAGAATAGCAAAAGGAAGAGAAAGCCTGGCTTGAGTTCCCCTCTCCTGACATCCAAGTCACCACAGAAGGTTCTCCACATACATATGTTAATCCAACATTCCTTCAAGCTCCAAGCCCAGGCGCGCAAAGCAGTGCCAGCACCTTTGCTAAGCAAATGTCAGCTATCGGCGGCCTGAACAGAGGGCTGTTTCCAGTCCCTGGAGTGACGATCTGCGCTGGGGAGGAAAGGCCAGCCTGTTTGTCTCCTTCAGCGTTGACTCGACCTGTTCGAAGTGAGAAGCCTGGACGTGAAGACTGTGTGGCTGAGCCGGGCCCCTTCTTTGGGGGCCTGACCCCGCCTAGGGGCTGCCAGCTGGGCTGAGGGTCAGCTGTCAGCCCTCAGTGGCCATTTGCTTCAGTTGTTCTCCGGTGTCACTACGCTGCCACGAAGGAGGTGGTGTGATGCAGTTTTGGACTCAGTCTTAAGCTCAAACAATGGGTCCGGTTGGCTACCATTTTATTGCTATCCTCAAAGTACCTTTGCAAGTTTAATTAATGGGAAATCAACCGTAAAATTTATCTATTAAAATCAAATACCGGGGGGCTGGATTTGCTTTTGTTGTGTATTTCCTGGTGGTTCAGGTCTTTCTCCTCACTGTTCCCAGCTGGGTTCCCTGACCCTGTCCCAAAGCTCAGGAACAACTATTTTTAGACCCAGGCAAGCCCCAGGGCTTCAGACGGTAAATCATTAGCTGTGACTTTAAAAATAGTCCTTGAGCCACTTTGGAAACATTGATTTCTCCACAGCATGTGGACTTGGATTTATATCCCACCTTTGCAGCTCAGTCCCCATAAACAGACTGAACCCAACCACCAAGACTGCCCACAGCGGATGTCTCAGGGCGGAGACAGAGCTGTAACAGTGGGGCTGCGCAGCGTTTATAAAACAAACGTCAGGCATGGCCACAGGCCTCCCCCAGGTTCCTTACTCAGCACCACACAGGCCGGCCGGCACCCAGTCGGAGTCGAGAGTCCACGCTGGACTCCGGGCTTCATATTTTATTCCATAACGTGCGGTCAGATGAGGGCGGAACTTTACCTCTTAGAAAGGCCTGGATGTTCTGAGTCTACACCAGCGAAGTCTCCTGCAGAACTTCTGCCACCAGTTGCTGCCTCTGGTGTTTCATAAACTCGCCAAATGTCAGAATGATGTCATTCTGGACTCCTTGTTTGACAGAGAGGAAACTGAGGCCTAGAGAAGGGAAGGGACTGTTAGGAAAGTTGTGGCAATATCGCGATGGCATGAGAGGGGTCCTGACTCTCGCTGAGCCATACTGTGAGCATAACGTTCTGCCTGACGCAGACGGGGGCTGCTTCCCACGCAGTTCAGCAGAACACAGGAACATGCATCTGTTAGAGCATCGCTGCCCTAGATGCTGTTGGGGAGATGAGGTAGCGAGGAAAATTCAGAGTCTCTATGATCACGTGGCACAATTCTACACGTGGTCAATCTCACCTTTAGCAGGGGAGTAGGAGAGGAGTTACTGCAAATGTTACACTTTTCATCAACGCCAACGATTCTGCTTCCAGAAAAGACTCAGCTTTCTGCTGGTCTAAAGGACATTTCAAAAACGGAAAAGGAAAAAAAAAGAAGAAGAAGAAAGAATAATAGGATAAGAAGAAGGAGATTTTGTTTTGGTGCACTTTTTTTCTTTTCTTTCTTTCTTCTTTTTTTTGAGTAGAGGAAGCCCTCTTTCACACCAGATTTAAAAGGAAGGCGTTTTAGAAGCGACAGATGCAAATACCCACCTCCACTGTTTGTTCAGCTTTGGCCAAGTTAGAGGTCAGTTTCCAGTTGTTGACAGGGAAAAGGCTAGCGAGCAAAATACCTTTATCATTAAATATTATCTTGTGAAAATATTTACACGGGTGTAAGCATAGAACATCGTGCTAATAATGGGACACACACATTTGGAAACTGTAATCCAGCCCCACGAAACAATACCCAGGAAAAGCGTCTGTTTTCCTCCCTCCCGGGTGTGCACGATGCTTATAGTTCAGGCTTTGCAGATGTGTGATGGACGCCTACTTCCATGGATTACAATGGCTCTTGGTCAAATAGGATCCTTTTTATTACTTCCCCAGATGAAATGCAAGAGAGCTTGGAGTTTCTGTGATAAAGTGTCACTCCTAACAATCAAACTTCATTAAAATTACATTCCTATTTGGTGAGCATTCTTGCGTTCCTCCACTGTTGCTCTGTCGCTGCTCTTCTATGGCTTTTCATAGTGAAAGAGCAGTGCCAACAATCAAAGATAGGGTCTTGGGTGCCTTGTAACTAACTCTCCATTCCCTGAGAGCCTGGGGGTTGCCCAAGGCCCTTCCCAGTGGAGCTGACACTGAGAAAAGATTCATGTGACAAGGAGGAGGGGAATTGGGGGGAAAATAAAGTAACTCCTTTTTCCCCTGGGAGTTCCAGGACCTGGCTATGTGGACTTTCCACACACACGTGAACCAAGCTTTGCACCCAGGGGCGCATGGTGCATCACTCTGCCTGATTTTGCAGTCTCATCCTCTTCTTAGTCCTCAGAGTTCAGGTTCCTGCCACGGCCTCTTGGCTGAGTCTTGGGCCAGCGGTCCCCAAAGTCCCCTTCACCCAGCTCACCCAAGCCAGGCCAGCTTCCTAAATGTGGCTTTCACCCTCCTCCTCCAGCCTGAGAAGCAAAGAATTCCCTTTGTCAGATTCACCAGGCTTCAGGACCTGACCACCGGCTTCAAAGTCTTCCCGAGTCCTGATTGCTATTCCCATACTTGCATCTTCCTCAGCAGGAAAGCTGGTCCCTAGGCCTCCCACGTTGGTTGTGCAGACTCTGGCATCCACGCCTTTGCCCCAGCACGAAGGGCTTCCACCCGGCCACGTGCACCGGTGGGCCCTCGTGAGCATGACTGCAATGACTGCATGTCCCCACCTCTGCAGACGTGCACTGTATCTGCCCCAGGGTTTCACCTTAGGGTTCTTGGACCAGCGGTGGGTGAGAGGGCCATTTGCATTTGTACTGCAAATATTGCCAGGAGTTGACAGAATCATCGGAAGTCCCTTGTCACGCAGAAAGTGGGCATCCACTTTCAAATAAAAACGTTTTTGAGACAGGAGGGAAGGGGGCAGGGCCTAGCCATTAAAAGGATGACATAGCCATTGAGGATGGGACATAAACTGGTTAGAACTGACCCGGCCCCACATGGTGGAGGATCTGACTTCTAGAACTTGAGCCTCGTTACACACTCATTGTAGTGGATTAGCTGCCAAATGACACACCCACAGGTGCCATGACAGTTCCCAGGCTGACCATGAAGGGAAAACAGCGAACAGTGGAGGGGATGCCCAATCTCTGGAAATCCCCACCCCTTCCCCAACATAGCTGGAGCAATGTTGTTAGCCTATGAAATTGCCAAGCCCATAAAAATTAACCAGCACTGCACCCCAGCCTCTGGGTGCCTGGCCGCGTTGTGCCTGTGGGACACGTATCTCTAGGGCCACTCTCGCTTTCCGAGACCACCCCATCTCCCAGGACTGCCTCTCTCCTTCTGCGACGGCCACGCTATGTCTCTGGAGTGTGCATCTCCCTGGATAAATCTCCTTTCACTCTCCCTTGACTTGCTCTTGTGTTCTTTCCTGCATGAAGCCAAGGACCCTCATCTGGCGGGTCGAGTCCTAGGGACTCTCCGAGACCTGGGGCATGATTGTCCTCTCACGCCCCATTTTTCCTGCAACATTTTCACTTATTTTCAGTCAAGCTCGGTGAAGACCAAAGTAAGCGGCGTCAACTGAAATAAACGCGCAGCCTAAAAGTTAAGAGTTACGGTTTATTTGGCGGGAGGACTCGAGCCAGGATGACAGCCGCTCAGATGCTGTGAGGGACTGCTTGCAAGAGGTAGGGGAGGAGCTAGGATATATAGGAGCTTTACAACAAAGACCTGGTAGTTGGAACAATGAAAGATTGCTTGTTATCTAAAGAAAATCAGACATCTCAAGTTAAAGGTATGGGAGGAAGCAAACATTTGGGCTCACTGAATTCATTCTTTTAACAGGCACCTAGCTATCTAGGGCAAGTGTCCTGTCCGTTCTTATTCTGCGTCCGCTCAGAGGGCATCACTGCGAGTGGTTGCAGAGACCAGGCTGCAGGCCTGTCCTCGCTGGGGTGGGGGGGCGGCAGCCGCTGATGACCTGGTTTCAGCATTCTTTGTTTACTGATACGATTGCAGTAGTTTCGTTCACAGCAGCAACGTGTGGCTGGCACTCCTACCTCCTGGACTGGACTGGGAAGTGTGGCCTCTTCCAGCCTTCTGTGCACGGAGGGCAGCACCTGGCAGGCATGGTGGGTCACCTTGGCTCTGCTGTTCGGTCAGTATGTATTAGGTGGAAAGATACTGTAGTGACATAGAGGTTTAAAAAAAAATCCATCAATCCACGTTTTGCAGTCGTTGAATGTTAAAAAGTCTTTGCTGTTAATTAAGGTGGGGAAACTCAGGCTTAGGTGGTACATGGCCTCTCTAAATGTCTCGGCAGCAGAACCAAAGAGGGGCTTATGTGCAGTCTCCCACCAAGCTGTCCCCTCAGAAGCCAACGCCTCTGCATCTCACTGGGTAAATTATAAACGCTTTTGACTAGTTAAAAAAATATATATCCACTCTAAATATCAGATACTGGGGGAAAAAAATAAAGGGACAAACGGACAGTAAGTCAGCATCCAGCAGTAACAGTACTTACAGTTCCTGGAGAATTCTCAGCCCCTTTCTCCTGTCCTCTTTGTTTAACAACAGAATCTTATTTCACCTGTTTCGAACCTGACTCTTTCATAAAATGCTACAGATATCTTGTCACATCGGTGGAGATGGTGCTACATGAGCACTTTAAGATTGACATGTTATGCTTCTGAGTGGATATTGTGAAATCGTGGTTTACAATCAAAAATTTATTTGGTCTTCTCCCCCCTTTTCTGGCACAGCTAAAAACTCTTGGAATTTCCTAAGTGATAAGAGAGATAAAGGTGTTATTTGTTATGCTAATGAGGTAACTTTTGGAATGCCGCCTAGGTTACCTAAGGCTGGAGGCTGGTTGCTGGGAGAGGCGACCACGTGATGAGAGGGTTAAATCTTTCTGTTCCACCCCCTGACCTCCAGAGAGGGGCTGCTGGTTCAATCAATCACCAATGACCAATTAATCTATTTTGCCTATGTAATGAAGCCTCCAGAAAACCCCAAAAGGAGGGGGTTTGAAGAGCTTCCAGGTTGGTGTGAACATTTGGAGACTTGGGGACAGTGGCACTTGGGGAATGCTGACAGTTTCGAGCCCCTCCTCCACATCCTGCCCTACGCATTTCTTCCATCTGGCTGCTCCTGAGTTATATATTCATTAATAATAAGCCAGCAATCCAGTAAGTAAGGCGTTTCTCTGAGTTCTGTGAGCCACATTAGAAGATTCATCAAATCTAAGGAGGAGATCTTGGAAACCAGTGATTTACGGTAGGTAGATCAGAGGTACAGGTGACGATCTGAACTTTGACTGGCAGCTGAAGGGGGAGGGTAGTCTTGTGGGCCTGGGCCTGCAACCTGTGGCATCTGATGCCATCTCCAGGTCAATGTTGTCAGAACTGAGTTGAATTGTAGGACAGCTACTTGGTGAGAGAGAATTGTTTATTGGTGGCGTGGGGGGGGGACCCCTACCCCACCCCAAACTCGCCCACCATGGAATTGTGACCAGACACAACAGATGTAATCTCTTTTATCATCTCCATGTTGATGACCATTTAGACTGCTTCCATTATCTTTTTAAGGCAAATATTTTTCCACATCAGTTTTATATTGGTGCTTCTTCTCTTTGATGATTGAGGATTTTGCAGCTCATGAAGTCCTAATTAACTGAGAATATTGGTTCTAATGAGTGAGTGGCAATCAAAGAAAGGGCAGTAACTTGAAGCACAGGGAGAGGGCCGGAGTGGAGCCGGCTCTGGGGCAGGTGAATAGTGAATGCATGGACGTCTCTGCGCAGGCAGGTGGCGGGGACCTGGGGTAAGTGAGAGAACACAAACCCTGATTCGTTGGTAATATTTTGTTAGATTATAAAGTTGGGTAGTGGTTGTAAGATTTTTAGGAGTAAAATTTAATGTTTTTACATCCTGATCTAATGAGGAGCTTCATTCAAAGCTGGAATTGTTCTACCGTGATAAAGGGTGGCTGGATAACCCAGGGGTCAGACTTTCAGCGCTCCAGGTCTTAGACAAAAGACTTACTCATGGTGTATCCACCGCACCTAGCGCCAGCTCAGGAGCCCACTCAGTGCTCCCTGATGTCCCTTGAATTCGATAACTGTCCTTCCTGTTCACGGGGATGCTTCACGGTTCTGTCAGCTTTATGGATAAAGATATTCTGCGAGGTACAGTCATTGTTTCAACCTTCTTCCTCCTCCTGATACTGATGGTAGAATTTCAAAATGTCAAATAGTTATTTACATTAATTGAGTCTGAAAGCTAACTGCGAAAAAAAAATGACACACAAAATGATACCAAAGGGTAAAATATAGAGACAACTATTTCAGGAAAGATTAAGAAAAACAAATGGGAATTTCAGCCAAAGAAAAATAAGAAAACAGAAACTATAAAAGAAATAAAGCAAGAATATTTTGAAACTTGAAGAACATGAGTCTTTAGACCAAAAGACCCCCCAGAGACCCACATCTAGACGTGTGCTTATGATGTTTACATAACCAGGATTTTAAAGGAGTTACTAAAATATTCAAAACTTGAAAAAAAAATCACATAAAAGATAATTGCATCAGCAGTACCAAGTGAAAAATGCAGTAAAGCAAAGCTGTCATATTATTGACCAAAAATTATTTCAAAATACTGTTTGTTGGATGTAGCTACTGGCTTTTCTTCTGTGCTTGCATTAAGGAAGATATTTATTCTTTTGTTATTTATTCTTTTAAATTGTTAACCAATACATTTAGATACACTCTTGCTATTCAACCCATTCAGATATTTTATCAGAAGAGAAACGCTAAGCAAATGACCATGTTAGGTTTCTCCTAAAACTTCACATCAACAGAACTTAGTTTGGGTAAAGAGAACACATACCCTGGGATTTTTTTTTTACCTCTGACAAATTTTTGTCTGTTGACACATGTAACTAATAACAGTCTTCCTTAAAAGCTTTACAGATTTTCTGGTTTCTTTTCTGCAAGTTAAACTATTTTTACTAGCTCATTCCTTCACGCAGTTTCTCCACAAACATTTATTGGGGGACGTAACATGCCATCCATTGTGATAGGCAACTGTTGTATAAACCAAACAAATTGCATTTTTCTTTTTTTTTTCTTTTTTGTCTTATAATCTAGTGCCAGATGGGGGCAGTTGTTAGAGAGACAAATAAGGAAATAGATAATTAAAACCCAAGTTGATAACTGCTTTGAGTGGGCTGAAAGGCTCCTGGGATAGCCATCTATTTCAAACTGGAGAGAGAGAGACAGCACAGGAAACGTCCTGGAGATGTGGAAATTGTAGCATAGTCCAGCTTTTTTTTTTTTTAAATAAAAGAAGTTATCTGATTGAAAGAAGGCTAAAAATTGAAAGAATTTTCCACACAAAGGAAGCATCCTATTCAGAGTGTAGATGCCGGAGGGTTTGTAGTGTGTAAGGACCACTGCTTG